GAACAAGACATGTTCTGCAATAGTACCATGTGCTTAACCATAAACATCAGAGGCATAAATGGGAGGATAGGAAGCAACTGTCATTGTCTATCCCCATTTTGCAACCCCTTTCCTTTTCTCTTAATTTCACCCTTATTTGTTTTTCTCATCTCATCTTCATCTTCCCATCCTGCATGCTAACCTACCTCCTTATATATTCAAACTCTACATGCATCGCAACATAAATTTACTATATAAAATATATAGTCAAATTAATGGCAGTCGACCTTCGTTTAATTTGTCCTTTTTTTTCTTTTATACGAACTCCATGTCAAAATTTTGTTCTTTATGGGATTATTAACAAACTAATGTTGTATATATATAGAAGATTAGAGGTGGTTTACTTAATTTTAATAGCGTAGGATTATATTTAGCAAAGGGAAAGAAGTGAAATGAATTTATTAATTGATAAAAGGAGAAAAGACATGGGCGTTGGAGAGAGACAAAAGCAGACAAGGATGGTTTTAAAGGGACAAAACATATGGCATGAAATGTAGTACCTAGTGCTTAGTTTCCTTTTCAAATAATATTTATTTACTTTGGTGAATTAATGAATTGTAAAAACTTGAGAAAAAGTGAAAAAACACTGCCCTCGATTCACGAGGGTTGGAAAAAAGTACGGATTTGGGCTGTGATTCTTAACACTGCCAGAGGTTGTTATCTTTGTACTCAAAAAACTAATAAAAATAGATGCATGTGATTTTCTTTTTAGTTTCCCAAATATATCCCTTTGTCAGCTTTGTGTCTTTGTCCCTTATCAAGATTAGGATGATCCAATTACAACTCTCTTCGATATTTGCAATCTCATTTGAACTCATCATTACTTTCCTCTTAACATTAACATTAACCTAATTAAATTCATCTCCATAGAAGAAAGGGTATTATGGTAAAATGAAAAAAGCAAAAGGCAGAAAGGTAAATGATTGGGTGACACGTGGCTGTAGTCGATTTGACAAGGCTGTGAAGGACCCGTCACACCGTTGATTGCGTGGACGAAAACTGGTTAGATGTTAGATCATTTCATATATATTCTCTGTCGCTATACGTAACAGTAGTTGACAAAAAACAATCCAACCATCACTTTGATTTTTCTTTTTATTAATTAATTTAATTTAATTTTCATGCTTACAATCATCGTTTTCAAGATGAGAGAAGATCTTTCGGTTAATGCATGCGCAACCATGCACGCGCAAAGGCAAACCTATTTTTGAAGCTTTGGATTATAGATAAATGATACGGCCTGGGGGTGGGGGGGTTAATCTCAATTAAACAATTCTATAATGGACATATAATTACGTTAATGAAAATTAAGGCCCAACTATCATTCAAAATGGATTTGTCATCGAGTAGTTATAGATCTTCAAGGACTGAATTGATTATAAACGAAGGTCAAAACTCTTTAAAGTTTTACGTGTGATTAAGATGTGAAAAATTTGAAAAAAAAAAAAAGATATGATATGGTGGTGGAGAGGGATTTGCTAACAGATCGTATATGCATATCCCTTCTTTTCCTCTTACTTCAACAACTATATAAATAATTAAGCACTCTACTCCAATTATTGTCAATTATTTTTCAACCCAAATCACTCCAAAATTCTCAATTATGTAACTCCCATAAATTTGTCAACTTCCAAATAGAGTTATATATGTTTCATAATTAAGTACTACGGTTGGTTAATTGTCATTTTCTACCCTTTTTTTTAATCAAAGTGTTTTCATCATATATACATTTTCTTCGCTAGTGGTATATAAATTAAACTCCATCAAATTAATGCATGTTAATCAGTTTATATAAATTTAAGTTCTTAAAGAAAACTGGGTGGAAATACCCTTTCCTTCTTATATATAGATAATGATAAATGAGAGTAATCCATGTCTACTATCCAATCTTTCAAAAAGTATATTATAGCTCTTCCTCATCTAACACAAGTGCAATTCCGTGGCAGCCTTTTTTTTTTCAATATCAATTAAAAGACAAAATGAAAAAAGAATAATATATATATAAAAATATTTGCAAGCAAAAGCACCTTATTTTCTGCAGCCTTTTATTACTGGCCATATTCAAAAACTCCAGAGATTGTTAAATTGTTTGCATATTATAGTTTGTCTTTTAGTGTTTTTGATTCGCAGATCAGAAGAGTATGGCCATCCTCAGATTTATTATTATTATTTTTGTTTGAAAGTTTGATTTGCTATATCATGAACTCCTGTGTCTCTTTAAGTAAAGTTAGAGAGTGAACAGGCATTGAAGGACGAATTCTGATCTTCATTGAAATATTCAATTAGACGCTTAGATCTCTCTTTCTGCACACACTCAGCTCTGTCTGATCACTGACCGATTATAATTTGAACGATATAAATAACAATACTTATGAATTACTGATTACTGTACGTTAAATCAAATTTAAGTAATTCTTTTTATTGAGAATATACTATGATAAATAACCCTTTTACAGTTGTTACAGACTGCTGACAAAAAGTGTAGCATCAGCACTCAAAACAGTTTTTATAATTTTCTCCCAATAACTTCCTAAAAGATCTTCTCTAGAATAATAGAGGTGGTCAGTCAACTGAGGAAATATAAATGGATAATTATATGTTTTTATTTAATTAATAATTCAAGTTAATTATTTGTATGGTTGGAATAAAATAAAATAAATAAGAGAAAGCACATCACATCACATCATGGTCGTTACATTACCCTTAGCAATAGGAATGGGCAAACCCCACACTAGAAATTCAGCACCTTATTTAGTATACAAAATACATGTATATGAACTCATCCGATAACAACCCATTTTCAACTCAAGTGGGGTGAAATTATAAAGTTAATTAATATTTGTCCCATCTAGGACAGTCACCCTCAAAATCTCACAAAGAACCAAACAACAAAGTTGACACTAGTCTACCCCTATAAATAGTAATAGACCCACATGAATTAATTCACCTCAGAAAATATTTATATTAAACATTATGTGAATGACAGAGATTTAATTACAAACATTTTGATTGGTAATTTGGTAATAAAAATTGTAAGGACCCATGAGGGGCACATGGCCCCAACATGTTTTGGGTGTATTAGGACAAGATTAGAGAAGGTGGGTTTGCGTGGGTGCCCTTTTGTTGGGTCAACTAGAGCATATTTCCCCACCAAAACCACACAAACAAACCCTATAATAGACAGCCTTGTTCCCATGTGATCAAATTTAAGAGCAACATTCCAAAATAACAACCCGCTTTCTGCCTTCTCTCTCTCTCTCTCTCTCTCTCTTTCTTCAACTCCCCAAATCAATCTTTTCGGGAACAAGGAACAACAAACAATATTACAACTAATCTTAATTACCCTTTTCCATACAAAAAAGTAATTAATTAGTTATTAGATTTAGATCTCTCTAATTATCACTTTTAATCTTTTACTTAACATTCTTTTAAAGTACAATCCTAAAAGTGGAGGGCTCCATACCAAATCCAAGGGTCCATTCTTTTTCATATTTATTCTTAAGGAAGACTTTACATTTTTTTTTTTTTTCCTTTTTTAATTTTCTTCCATGACCATTTGCCGGATGTTTCCCGACCCATATAATCTTAACATTAATAAATTTTAAATTAAAAAATTTTTATTAACCTCTAGACAGAATTAAAATCTTGCAAAAATTGGTTTATTATGTCATTAATGTTGATTATAAAAGAATATTGGTTTTGTTGAACAAGATTAGAAATTTTATCACATCATTATTCTTTTATTCTTTTAATACTTATAATATCAATTGACTATAAACTATACTATTATATATTCGGAAGATCGTAAATTGATTTCTTTTAGATATTTACAAAAAATAACACATTAATTTACACCTCATGCTCATCTGTTGCCTTCAATCATTTCTTAATTTAGAAATCAAGTGACAAAACCTACTTAATATGCAGGATTATTTTGAAGGTCGTTTCCTTAATTAAGTATCAATTAATATATTTCTTAAATTATAATTAAAATATTGGTTAAATGGTGTCATTATTAAAATCTTTCAATTTTAGTATAAAATGAGAGAGAAAGGGGAAAGCCTTTATTTTTGTTGGGTCCACTACTACTAAGTACTGGAAATAAAATTATAATGGGAAGTTATATAGCATTTATTACATTTCTTCTAAAATTATTTTTTTTGTTAACATTAACTTCTTATTATACAAAGGCGTTACATAAATTTATTTAATAATAATTACTTTCACGTGAGACTATATGCTTGTCATGAGAATTTTGAGGTTAGGTTTATATGCAATTAACTTCAAGGGGTTCAACTTCCGGTCAAAAAGGTTTCCTCATTTTCTTAAATTTCTGGGTTTAAATCTTAGGGTCACCTACCATAATAACATTATAAGTTATGTGGTTCTTTGAATTTGTAGGGCATTCAACAGACCTCAGAGATTAGTTAAGGTGCGCGTAAGCTGGCCTAACACCCCGATTACAAAAAAATATGCAATTCATCCTCATAATTCAATAATACCCAGAACAAAGAATTTACATAGTAATTAGAAAAATAAGGTGTTATGAATACTTTTAAGAGTGCATGTAATTTATTTTTATTTTTGAACATGGTAATTAATAAATATTTATTTACTCTTTTAACTTTTTCTTTAGTTTTGTTACAAGATTTTTCAAGGGGAAACTTTGTTAATAAATAAAATCACTTAACTACCTTAATTTATTTTATTTAATTAATATAAAGACCTTTAGAAAAATAAAACAATAAGAAAAAAGGGGATATAATAATACTAAAAAGAAAAGACAAGGGTAAGATAGTCTAAAAAGGATTAAAAAGAGTAACTAAAAAGCTTATTCGTTGACCCTTAGAATTCCAATGGCGGCCCCTACGCCGTTGGCCTTGCTTTGCTCTCGCTCGCTAGTATTAAAAGCCAAACACACTAACAAAGTAACAAGTACACCAACATTAGCAAAACAAGATAAGAAGCAAAAAACATAAAAAAGGCTGCTCCACTTTGCAACGCTCTCTCTTCTCTCGCTTTGCTAATATGGAGGAAGACCTCTTCAACTGGTTCAAGTTCCTTGTCATCTCTTTCACCGTCTTTTTGTTAGTTTTAAAACTTACAATTCTGCTTTGGTGGACACCCAGAAAAATTGAAGACCATTTCTCTAAGCAAGGGATCAGAGGTCCTCCTTATCATTTCTTCATTGGAAATGTTAAGGAGTTGGTTGGCATGATGCTTAAGGCTTCTTCTCAACCCATGCCTTTCTCTCACAACATTCTCCCTCGAGTTCTCTCCTTTTACCATCACTGGAAGAAAATCTATGGTACTGTTTTCTTCTCTCTTTTTACTTCTCATTTCCACTCACATTGAGGCGTCTTTTTCTTTTTTCAACATTCTAAACTTCTTCTTCTTTCCTTAAGCTATTAAAGATTATCAAAGAAAAAAAAAATGATCTTGAGAGGTTTCTCTCTCTTAAAGCTAAGAGTTAGTTTCGATCATCATTAAAGTTGATAGTGCGCAGTCTCTTTAGCTTGGTTGATGATCATATGCTTTAAAATTGTGGCTTTTGAAAACCTTATTTTTTGAGTTTCGGTACTTCTTTTTGAAAACTTTTTAGCCTTTTTTTTCTGAACTCGGATGCTTGATGTTGAAGTTCAGAGTTTTGGATTGTCCATACCCGTTTGTTTTTCTCTTTCCTTTAATTTTTCTCTCATCCTCCTCCTTCCACTGGAGATTAATAAATAAAAAAATTAAAATAAAAACTTGGATTTTTTATTTTAAAAATTACTTTGTTATTTATAATTTTTTCAGTCGTGAAAGTGAAAATGCGGTGTTCTATCATACTCAGTTATCATTTACTTTTGAGTTGTGTATGTCGTCTTTCATTTGTTTTATGGGATCTTGAATTCTGATAATGAAGTTGTATGTGTTTGGTAGTAGTATGTATTGAGTTGTCTTCTTCCTAGTTTCTTTTGGCCGCTCTTGCTCTTGTCTTGTAGGGTCCTACACTATCCATGCTTTCTCTGAATTAATGGCTGTCATGTTTTCTTCTCATTCCTCTTTCTGCAACTTCATTCTTACTACTTGAGGTTCTGTGCAACTTCCTACTTGGTGTTAAGCTCTTCTTTTTATTTCTTTGCCTTGTATATCCCGTTTTTTATATTTATTTATTTAATGCCAACACACGAATCATTTCTTCTTTTTTTTAAATGGTTCATTGCAGGTGCAACATTTCTTGTATGGTTCGGACCTACCGTTCGCCTCACCGTCTCCGATCCCGACCTCATTCGTGAAGTGTTTACTTCAAAGTCTGAATTCTATGAGAAAAATGAGGCACACCCACTTGTTAAACAGCTTGAAGGTGATGGTCTCCTCAGTCTCAAAGGAGAAAAATGGGCTCAACATAGGAAAATCATAACACCCACCTTCCATATGGAAAATCTCAAAGTAAGTTCATCACCTTAATTAATTCATTATTAAATCAATTTTCAAATATATTAATACAAAACTTTAAAAATTAAAAAAAAAAATTAAAAAAAAAAACTTCTGTAGCTGCTGGTTCCAGTGGTGGCAAAAAGCGTAACCGAAATGTTGGATAAATGGCTAGCAATGTCAAAATCCGGGCAGGTAGAAATTGAAGTTTCAGAGTGGTTTCAACTTCTTACCGAAGATGTAATTACTCGAACTGCATTTGGTAGTAGCTATGAAGATGGCAAAGCCATTTTTAGACTACAAGCTCAACAAATGGAGCTGGCAGCTGAGGCTTTTCGGAAAGTATTTATCCCTGGCTACAGGTAATAATAATATGAATAAAATAATCTGAGGAATATATATGTATGTATGTATATTAATGAGTAAAATAACTGTGAATGCAGATTTCTACCCACAAAACGGAACATAAATTCGTGGAAACTAGACAAGGAAATCAAGAAATCGTTAATGAAACTGATCGGAAAGAGAAAAGAGAATAGAATGCAAGTAGAGAATGAAAAGGAAAAAAGTTCAAAGGATTTGCTAGGACTTATGATTCAAGCTTCAAACTCATCTCCAAATATAACAGATTATGACATTGTTGAAGAATGCAAGAGCTTTTTCTTTGCTGGCAAACAGACCACATCCAATTTGCTGACGTGGACTACAGTTCTTTTAGCAATGCACCCACAATGGCAGGTGCTAGCACGTGAGGAGGTGGTAAGGGTGTGTGGAGCACGTGACATACCCACTAAAGATGATGTTGTCAAGCTTAAGACGGTAAACGAAAACGCCCCCTCTCCCCCTCCTCTTTTTATTAATTAAGACAAAAACCATGTTTTGTCTCGTACTAGTTGTTTTTGCTTTCTAGCATAACTGAACTCTCTCTGGTCTCTACTTTTTCTAAATTTTTTATATCAAATAATCTGCTGTGCAGCTGAGCATGATCTTAAACGAATCCCTTCGATTATACCCACCAATCATCGCTACGATCAGACGGGCGAAAGCTGATGTGGAGTTGGGTGGATATAAGATACCATGTGGGACAGAGTTACTAATACCCATCATAGCCGTTCATCATGATCAAGCAATATGGGGGAATGATGCAAACGAGTTTAATCCAGCTAGATTCTCTGAGGGTGTGGCCCGCGCGGCGAAACATCCAGTGGGGTTCATCCCATTTGGACTTGGGGTCCGCACTTGCATTGGACAAAATCTAGCCATCTTGCAAACTAAATTAGCACTGGCCATTATCCTTCAACGCTTCTCGTTTCGATTGGCTCCAACCTATCAACATGCACCAACCGTTCTCATGCTATTATACCCACAATATGGTGCACCAATTATCTTTCATCATTTGTCATCGGATCACGATGACCCCATTTGTAATCAACATGATCAACGCTCCTGATTTCATCTCCATCTATCTATCTATCTATCTATCTATCCTTCCTTGTTGTGCGAGTGAGTGGCTTGAGTTTTATAGGATCCAAAAAAGTTAGAGCAGAAATATAAAATCTTCTTCTAGTATTTGACTGACCCAATGCTCTCTCATGGTTTTTTAACCGATGGTTTTTACCATTAATTAAGTGTAAGGTTTGTACTACTAGTTGTAGGATTATGTTACAGTAAATTAATGGCAGGCTAACAGCTAGGTAGCGGTAGCTCCCTGTTTGTATGTAATATATATTTTTGCACAATTTCTACACAGTTTTGTAGAATCTATTATTATATATTTATGGATTCATGAATCTTCCTTGTTTTTCTTTTTAAGCAACGGTTGGGTATGCAATTTGTCTTGTATAGAAAAAGGCAAATTCATCAATAATTTGTAGTCTATATCACCATAATAATATACAGAATAGACAACCTAAGCTTAATTTAATATATTATTATAATTTTCTTTTTATGCAAATGCAAAGCTGTAGCTAAGCCTAAGACATTATAGGATTTGATGAGTCTTGGGGTCATCCAATACGAACATTAGGTGAAATTTTTCATGTAATTGTAACCCCACTTTGGCCAATTGAAAGTTGTGCACATTAATTAATTTAAACTTCCATTTGTTTATTCATTAATTCATGGGTTAATGGGTACCAGCTAAGATGGTGAAAATCCCTGTAGAACTTGTCTGCTCTCTAACTTTATTAATTAATTCAAGGGAATTGAAACTGCACTCTTCCATTACCAGCAAATCTAGCGATATTCTCAATTTTCTATATATATATATATATATATAATAACAACCCACTTTTCAAAATTTATTTTGCCTCAAAACATTCTCCACTCCAGAAGAAAGTTATTAATTGATTAATCGTGGCTACGAATTTTAATTGTGTTTTCTCATAATTAAATAAATCTGCTGAAATATTATTAATGAAAATATGTAAAAATTACATAAAATTAACCATATTGAAATGAATATACTAAAATAAGTCGTAAAAAAAAGTAAGGGAGAGGAGAGAGATGGTGGCAGTGGCCCCCTACTATTAAAATTGGAAGAGAAGAGGCGCTAGAATCTGTGAACATAGTGTTACTACAAGATAAGAAGATTAAAAGTAAAAGCAAGGACAAATGCAGTACCCAAAGCATGAAATGTTATTAATTTTTAAAAGTTAAAGGTGACTGTAAATCTAGCATGCAAATGCACTTTGATTATCATTCTCCTTTTTAGGGTTTAGGGCTTTAATTAATTGTAGTAACAACCCATGTATTAATTACAACATGACTTTGGGATCTTCTAATTTGAGATGTAATTAAGGGTTAATTTGATGGTCCCCATAAAGCATGTGGTTGGGGAATTGAAGATATCTCTTTCTATTAATGAATGAATGAATGAATTTTTTTTTTTTTTTTTTGCTTTTGTTAAAGGAATCAAAGCGTGCTTCATAGTAAGAGCATGTGATTTCATCTATATAATTACTCCTCATCATTAACTTAATCTTCCTTTCATTAACCTTTATACACCTTGCTGTATTAATTACCATCTTAACCTGTTTATTCTCTACTGTTATTGTAATTAAATGATTTGGACATACCCTTAATCTCGATAAATTAAAAATTATTGCATTGCCTGCCCCTTGATTTTCCCATGATTTTATATCTAGAAATGTACGTGCTTAATTAAGCTTTTCCTGATTAACAGTAATCGATGTCTTAATCTTTTAATTAAATAATATACACATTTGTGGTTTGTCTCTTGGCCATGCCTCGATCCACGTTAACATCTACGCTAATGTCTCCTTCCCGTCCCCTGCAGTACACGACAAACTTAACATTCCATATTCATTTTAAAAAGTATTTAGAAATTTATTAATGTTTAGGATTTAAGAATGGTAAGTATCACACATTCAGAAAATAATATAAAGAATAATTATATTACAGAAAATATTAATATTTAATAATTTGGCATAACTCACCACAAGAGTACGAATATATAAACCTAGTACGTAAAATAGAGCAGAAACTAACCAATACTAGAGTGGAAACAAACTTTTAAGACACTTTTTCATGATGTTTAATAACTCTTACATCAAATATCAGTGTTTTACATTCTTGGTATCTTGAATTGGTTCTTAATCCTATATTTATCGTAGGATATGAGATATTTCATATTCAGATATTTCATATTTCAATTTTATTAGGACTCTAAAATTTATTCCTATTTACAATTGCATTCTTTATCTAATAATTTTTCTAAAAACATATAATTTCACGTGAAAAAAAAAAGAAAAAAAAAAAAAGAAAAGCAAGCTAAATATCCCAGTAAAGAGTTGATTTATTTATTGCATGTGATTTTACTGTTGATTTATAAATTAACCCAAAATAAAAAATGATTGATGATTATGATTGGCAATCGCATGCAGAAGAGAATGAAAGAAGTCAGAAAACATGGGCTTCTTGATTATATATCTATTTCAGAAATAATAAAATGATGAGTCATGCAAGTATATAATATAATATATATATATATATTGCGGTTTTGGTTAATACACGATCCAGCAGGCAGGAGTTGAGAATTCATTTCTAGTGTTTTCAAAATGCTTAATACAAATAATATTCTAATAGACACATGTCCTTCTACTGCGAACTATTCCCACAACATAACGTCTAATCTAATCAAAGATTCAACAAGAGAGACAAAATAGCCATCTTTAATATGAACAAATAACAACTGGAACCCATCCGAAATTGTACGTTACAATTATGGCTAATTAATTAATTATGAATTAGTTTAATTAATTGATTATGCCTTCTCTTGTGCCAAAGCATTCTAGCTGGCTCAATACCACCTTATCTTTCATAAGATATGATGATACATTGGCATTGGCTTTGGCGGTCAATTAAATTTATGTCCCACGAGCATTCCACTTCTCAATTATATCATCCATTTTTCATTACTTGTTGCCATATGATACGAATATGATTGAGATTTGAGAATGCTAATTGGAATCAGACCATATATGTATATTCTACTTAGCTGGATTAGAGAATTCTCTCTGCCTCTGCTAGATGTCACATTATTATTTTAAATAAGATTATATAAATGGGTATGGAAAAGGAAAAGAGAAGTCAAGGAGAGAAAAGAAGGTGGGTCCATGGCATAAGGTTAGAGAAGAGAAGCATAATCACATGGGAGTACCAATGATGAAGAGATGCAGATGAGACAATGGCAGGGGATTTGGTGGAGCCACATAAATGCACAACTCTATTTGTAGCCTTTTCATCTATCAACGCACCCCTATTTAAATTCATTTAATCAATCTTCTATCATATTCATTTTATACATTTAATTCTTCAATTCCTCCTTATAATTATATATACTACTCACCAAGGAAGGAATGACCAACTTGGAACTTTGTTGCCTATTCTCATGACAAACCCACCTGTGCCATTTCCCCTTTATTTAATGCTTCTCATCTTAAACAAACATACTATTTATTATATTAATAATGAAGAATCATATATATTCATATTTCATACTCTGCCACTCCTTCTCCTTCTCCTTCTCCCTCTCCTTCAAGTCTTTATTTATGGGTTGGTACTCGATACGATACATAAAAATAATCATCAAAGTAAAAGGTTCATAAAACTCTTCCTGAAAGTAAAACAGAATCCTGGAAACTGCAAAATTCATAATAATTTGGCGTGTATAATTGACAAAACTCTTTGGCTGCATAGGAAAGTGGGGAGCTAGCTATATATATATTGAATAATTAATCAAAATGTTAAGACATAGAAATGTAAGCAAAGTTTGGTAATATGGCAACGATTGTGGGACAGATTTGAATTGAAGTGAGGGTGGGCAACGGTGCACCCCAGAAACAAGGTTCTTGTTTTAATGAATAAGTATATGATGCCAAATGAATGACTCTATTAATGTTAGAAAATTGGGTTTTGATTTTGGAAGATATCACAAAAAGCCTAAAGGGAAAACTTGTAGTATGCTACGCCATATCAACTTTTTAATTATATGCAGTTAGATAAAGCCCAAGCCTTTTTATTTTTTATTTTTTTATTTTTAATATCAAACAAAAAGGATTGAATTGGTGTGACCTCAAGTGCTTTTTAAAAGTTGGTAAATGGTTCCCACAAGGAAATTTACATGAATTGTTTTATGGTATTGTTGATGTTATATCTTGTCGTACTCTCTTTGATCTAGAACCAATGGATTTTGCAGGAATAATGAAATTAGCCGCCAGGATTGCGTGTGGGCAAAATGTTACCTTCCAATTCGCGTCCCATTATAACATTACTTTGTCCCTGAGTCGTCTTCTTTTTATTAAAAAAAGAACAAAATTTGAATTGTTTTTGCACGAAAACAGGGCCATGCCATCAATATGTAGGCCAATGAAAGCAGGCTCCAGCATCTGAAACTCAAGCTCTGCTCACTTCTAAAGTCAAGGACTCAAATAATTGGAAAACTGAGAGCAGCGAAAAAACAATAATATTGTTCACAGAATCACAGCTTTTTGATAAGCTCCAAAGCCGATTTAACATCAGAATCAATGCAACTGACATCTGCATCTGCAACAGAAAGCAATACAAAAGCTATAACCCAAGTAAATTACAAATGTCTTGATATGGAAGGAATGCAGAAGATGTGAAAAACAAAAAAAAAAGTAGATGGCTGTGGATTCCGGAATGGATGTCATTGTTAGAGCAAACCTTATTTCAAAGCTTCACCTTTTTGCGCACTGCACATTAATTCCCATATATAGTTTCCCACCACCTCATTTGTTAATACTTAAAGCTCATCTATGGCCCAGAATTTTCCCACCCTAACTCATCATAAAACAAATCTATCACTAACTTCAATTATGTATATTGCATTGATTTTCCTAAATTTTTGGAAATTAAAAATAGATGAATCAAATGTGATCAACAATTTGACAAATCAGAACTTAAAATTATGCATGTATCACTCTTGTTGTATAGCATCATAGAGTAAGCAAATTTCATTTACAATTTTTTTGGTGGTTTCCATCTCATAATCACCTTCCGAACAACTCCATTTACATAGATTTACTATAAACAGCCGGCCGCCAGGCCAAGTCCAAAAACAATAATGGGCGTACTGCCGTGTCAACACACTGCACAGTAAGACAAACCTCAAAACTAAAGATCCATAGAAAAATTATTAAATAAAACTAAACATGGGGGAAAAAAAGAGTTAAACAACGGGCTACCAATCTACCCAAATGAGGAGTTTAGTCCACATTAGGAGTAGGTAGATTTGTTGTGCCATGACAGATGAAAGTCGAACCACTTGGAATCCCAGGAACTTAATTATTCTAGAGGGTTGATATTGATCATGAAAGTCCCTGGTTTTGATTATCAGTCAGATAACACTGAAAGATACAACAATTTGTTAGTTTAACTTGTCAATTTTTAATACGATATGCCAATGTCTGTAAAACACAACCCAATATTTTCCTATTCACAGAAAATCGATAACCATTGTGACTCTTTTGTTCCTGCCCTTGCTCACTTATAACATATTGGTAACTTGTATTGGCTGTTAGTATGTGGTATTCTAGTGACTTTAAAAAAGAGACTCACACACACACACAAAAAAAAGAAAAAAAGAAAAAAAAATAAAATAAGGGATGGGAAAAGAACCAACATTTACTAACAGGAGATAGCCGGCAGGCAGCCAGGAAAATACCAACATTCTTTTGGTTTATGTTCAGCCAACTTCATCTAGCCAGAAACATGACATCTAGCATTACCACCCATCAGTGATAATAATGTTGCCAATTACTCATAAAGGGATCACGAACAGCATAGAAAAAAGAGCACAAAACACAGGTAAATGGAAAAATGAATCAGCCTGTTCCTCACAAAGATTTCATCTTATTGCATAAGAACATGACAGTGTGGATCCCTGAGAGAGAAGTATGACATCAAAAGAAGATGGAGACTCGAAGCTAACTGACTATCCTAGAACCACATATCCTAGAACCTCGAAAAGAGTGTAATAACATCACACAGATAAACATGTTGCCAAATGCTAGGACATATGAGCATGTTACTGGAGGGGAAGGTTGCTAGCAAGTGTCCACAACAATCCAAGTGTGCATGTGTATAGATTCACTCGGATGATCTCATAAAATAGATTCCCTAACTTCATAAATTCATGTTGACACAAGCTTCAGAAACTCTATATAGCCACGGGTTGCAGGGCATTAACTAATTAAGCTTCACTAGTTACTAATTTTTTAGCGTCAAAACCACACAGATGCAGAAGCAGAGCACTATGAAAGCAACCATAAAACAAAAAAAAAACGATTACTCTTATGTGATAACTTTGCATCAGAAAGACTGTAAAACGCACATCAGCAAGCAAAGAGATTTGTACACGGATGTGCTGAAGTAAAGCTTTGAAATAAAACCTTTCAAGCAACCACTTATCAGGTCATGCAATGGCAGACCAGCCACAATATTCTGGTCTTAAANACTAAAGATCCATAGAAAAATTATTAAATAAAACTAAAAATGGGGGACAAAAAGAGTTAAACAACGGGCTACCAATCTACCCAAATAAGGAGTTTAGTCCACATTAGGAGTAGGTAGATTTGTTGTGCCATGACAGATGAAAGTCGAACCACTTGGAATCCCAGGAACTTAATTATTCTAGAGGGTTGATATTGATCATGAAAGTCCATGGTTTTGATTATCAGTCAGATAACACTGAAAGATACAACAATTTGTTAGTTTAACTTGTCAATTTTTAATACGATATGCCAATGTCTGTAAAACACAACCCAATATTTTCATATTTACAGAAAATCGATAACCATTGTGACTCTTTTGTTCCTGCCCTTGCTCACTTATAACATATTGGTAACTTGTATTGGCTGTTAGTATGTGGTATTCTAGTGACTTTAAAAAAGAGACTCACACACACACACAAAAAAAAGAAAAAAAGAAAAAAAAATAAAATAAGGGATGGGAAAAGAACCAACATTTACTAACAGGAGATAGCCGGCAGGCAGCCAGGAAAATACCAACATTCTTTTGGTTTATGTTCAGCCAACTTCATCTAGCCAGAAACATGACATCTAGCATTACCACCCATCAGTGATAATAATGTTGCCAATTACTCATAAAGGGATCACGAACAGCATAGAAAAAAGAGCACAAAACACAGGTAAATGGAAAAATGAATCAGCCTGTTCCTCACAAAGATTTCATCTTATTGCATAAGAACATGACAGTGTGGATCCCTGAGAGAGAAGTATGACATCAAAAGAAGATGGAGACTCGAAGCTAACTGACTATCCTAGAACCACATATCCTAGAACCTCGAAAAGAGTGTAATAACATCACACAGATAAACATGTTGCCAAATGCTAGGACATATGAGCACGTTACTGGAGGGGAAGGTTGCTAGCAAGTGTCCACAACAATCCAAGTGTGCATGTGTATAGATTCACTTGGATGATCTCATTAAATAGATTCCCTAACTTCATAAATTCATGTTGACACAAGCTTCAGAAACTCTATATAGCCACGGGTTGCAGGGCATTAACTAATTAAGCTTCACTAGTTACTAATTTTTTAGCGTCAAAACCACACAGATGCAGAAGCAGAGGAGCACTATGAAAGCAACCATAAAACAAAAAAAAAACGATTACTCTTATGTGATAACTTTGCATCAGAAAGACTGTAAAACGCACATCAGCAAGCAAAGAGATTTGTACACGGATGTGCTGAAGTAAAGCTTTGAAATAAAACCTTTCAAGCAACCACTTATCAGGTCATGCAATGGCAGACCAGCCACAATATTCTGGTCTTAAATGCTTCAGCGACAGAGATATTTAAGTCCCACGGGTGGCCTGAAATGGAAGAATCCAGCAACCGTGTAAATTAGCCACATCAGTTAATCATTGTCAACTGTCCTATTAAAAATGCCCCATTGCTCAAACCAAGAGAAAAGGTGGCAAACCCCAACTCATGTTGTGACATTGGGAAGAGAGGTGTACAAGGCTACAAGCCCTCCAACTTTGGCCCTGGAAAATGCAGGGGAAGCATCAATAAGGTACTAAAAGAAAAATACTTAAAATACCGAATGGCACAGTGGATATTAAGTTATTCAAAGTCCAGATCATTTATATCAAAGAGAAAGGATGGGACAACTTTCTAGTTTATGATCCAGACGAAAGGAACCTAATAAACCCTACTTATATGGATTAAATGGCAAAAAGATGTCCTATAAAATACTTAGAGAAAGTCATAAACATATTATTCACCAGCCTTTAGTAAAATGATAACACCCTTAATAAAGACCAGGGTTCAAGTGTTGGAAGAAGATTCACATGGTAAAGAATACATCTGACCAATGCTTCTCTTCAAATAAAACTCAAAACTACAATATCAGAAATTTCAGCCTTGATATATCCCAATTGTTCATTATATGCAACAGTACACACACAAAAATATATAAATAAACTAATTCATTAACAATTAAAAAATTGAAAAGAATATAGGAGAATAAGAGGGACGATTCTGACTAAGGATGAAATAAAAGAGCAAAAAAGATGCACAAGGATGAGCTTAGAAATATTAATTGCAATGTTTGGGTTACATTGTTTCAAACTAGACCACTATATGTCATAATGCCAAAAAGGAATGATTGATAAACAACTTTTTTTTTTTTTTTTATCATGCTTCTTACAACAGAGGGGCATCAAAGAAAAAATTTATGAAATTCTACAGCTAGCAAAAAATAATTTGAAAAATAAAACCCAGATTATCCAGTCATCTAATGGGAATGCTGTTATCAGCAGAAACTAAGTTTCTTATCTGCATTAAATGTTCATCATTTGATATATGAAGTGAAAGACGAAGATTTGTCACCAATGCTTCTTGTTCCCAACTTAATGGACCTGATGCATGCAATGCCTCCATAGTGGATCTGTAGGCATGCAATTCTAACCTATGGATTTCGGCTGCCAGTTCCTCTTTTGTGGGAAGGAGACAATTTCCTTCCTCATGTCTCAACTGGCAAAAAGATTCAGCATCACTAAAATTACCATCGCTATCTTCAATAGGACCTGCAGAAACATGATGAGGCAACTTATAGGAATTGTTGCTATCGATACTACAACTACCAACAGAGCATGTAACACTATGAGCATCACTTGAATCTAAGTTTACTGCTAGAGAACATCCAACAGCTCCAGTTGATTTTCTCCTTTCTGCTTCAACTTCAGAAACCCCTGTTGTTCCATCATTAAAAGAAGGATGGATGTATATTTCACCCATCATTTCTCTTGGGAAAGCAACAGCTTCTACCTGCTCAGGTAATGAAGATGGATTTGCAGCAATCACTGGATGCAACCTGCCATCCTTGTCAATTCTTCTTAACTTCTCGGCAGCTCCAGTGTATCCTTCAGCCTGAGAATGGCAAAGAGGAGATCCTCTCTTCAGAGTTTTAGATGAAGCAATATGGGATTCGTGGACATTCACACTGTTCTTAACAGGAAAGCAATCATTGTTTACATGTAAATTCATCCTAATCTTTGCGTTCTTCACTCGATAGCTTGAAGTTTGACAGTACAATGTTAAACTTCTATCGTGTTTCACATCTTCCCTACTGCCAGAGCCCTGAATGCAAAACAAAAACAGATTAATTTTGATTCACAAAATTAACAAAGAGTTTACTAAATACAATCAGTTAAAAATTACTAAATGATCTCTAAAATGCCTAAACAAATTGCCAACTTCAAGCATTGTAATTGACAACTTAGAACTCAACCTTGAGTTCACTTTTTGCAAAACAAAAAATTTAACCCACAACTGATGAACATTAGAAGATATTAACTCAACATAACAAGAAAAGTTTGGTTGAAATAACATTTATAAAATAACTTTGAATCACAAGCATAAACCAAAATTGCAAAAAAAATAACTAGTAATGAAAACAGATTCAGATGAAAAATACCTCCCCAATCACAGCCCATTTGTCATCTTGCCAAGATTGTCTCACCCGTATGTCAAATTCCTTGAGTTTGAATTCCAGAGAAGATCCAAGAAGCCTGACCAAAAAGTACTTTTTCCCCAAAACCTTTGAAATTGTTGCCATTTTCCAAGAAAAATTATCAAACACCTCTACTACATCACCGGGAACCCAAAACTCCGAAACTTCCAGCAGAGGAGGGCAAGGCCTGATGGACTTCCTGGAAACTCTATCCAAGAACTTCTTGTCATTGGCACAAGAATACCCATCGTATCTAACTGTGTAGTTATGGCCATTACCACAAATTATCTCTGCACAACGCCAGGAGCCAGAGGGAACCTCCTTCTGGCTCAACACTTCCACTTTATCTCCTTTCTTAAATCTCATTACTGCTCTTTGGCTCCTGAATTCCTAAAGTGCAAAACCTGTTGTAAAATGAAGTGATTGACTTAAGAACTAAAAAAAAAGGTAGAACCGTAAAAAAAAACTAGTAATTCAAATAAGAAACCCTGAGTCAAATCACATGATTAAAAGATTTGAACGTCCTATAGATAATTAAAGATTAATTCCATAAGGTTTGGATTCTAGAAAACTAATAAAAAAAACACAAAGTATTATGGCAGCATTCAATCTAGTGAAGATCCTTAATATCTCATTTAGCATACAAACAAATAATATAAAATTTCAGTTGCTCAATTTCTTTCATCTACCTAAATGTATTCTTGAATTTTTTTTTTTTTTTTTTTTCGAAATCAAAGAACGAAACAATGACACTGAAGCGATCAGACAAAACTGATTCAATGATCAGAGAATTAAATAGCACTACATACACTTTAGGCTTTGTTTGGTTGCAGAGAAAATGCCGGGAAACAAAAGGAACCGCAAACATCAAATCATGAAGAAACAAAACTATAATAAACAGAGCTTTACTGAGTTCAAACTTGTATTTAAAAAAAAATGCATAACAAAAAGAAAAGATAGAAAAAAAATACTTATATTTTCTTTCACTATTATTTTGTTTTCTCAGCAACCAAACAGAAAGTCAATTATGAAAGAAAAAACAACGACTAAAGAAGCAAAATTTAAACTTGTGTGCAGTAAACATTGATAAAAAAAACAAACGAAGAAGCAAGAATTAGATCCTACAAATAACAAAATTAATAGCAGAAAATAAATAGAAGGAAAAAGGAAGAGATTTGACCGACCTTGTTCGATTGAAGAGAAACGCTCGTAGAAAGATTTATAATTGTATCTGAGTTTTGTTGTATTTATTATTTTTGTGGTTGGTTATTTTATGAGTATGTATACTTTTGGTAGGAATAGGATTAATAAATAATAATTCCAAAAAAAAATATATATATAAATAAACATATGCAAAATAAACAAAGAATATGGTATGAAGTTGCCAACTGCCTAAAGGCTAAGAATAGCTTGTTAAGTTGGGATTAAGTGTTGCGTTGCGCCTTATTGTGTGCCGTGGTGTGTATTACGCACACTTATCAATTATTTATTATTTTTATTATTATTACTATGGTGTTTTTGGATTAGTTAGGTTGGATAAGGATACTGAAATTAGTCTTTTTATTGCGATTAATTAACAATGTTGATACAAATTAAGAGTCTTCCCCGTGGATTAAACAATTTAATTAAAATAGAATTTGAGAGATAGTGATATATAACTTGTGCATCAAACTACCTAGAATGGAGAAGGATTTATTATTTAGTAGAAAATTAGAAATGTTGGTCAAACTGTTTGCTCTTACTAAATTAAAGTTGTAATAGCAGCCAGCCAACCGCGTAATTTGCTTTATTTGACTGACGACTAGTCGACTACGCCCTATGATCGGAACATGTCTACTAAACACTAAACACTTTAATTGTAATTTCTTTTTAATTAATTAAATTTTTTATTAGTTTACACGTTTTTCAATTAATCTTCAAGACCTTAAAACTATTGATCGAATAAGAGCTCCAGTAACTAGTTCTATTAATAATCGAAGAAAGACTTAAACTCAAAACTTTTTAAATAATACACCCAAAAGTCGTTATCGAATTATTCTTTAGTTTTTCTTTTTTGGTTAAAATATCTCTTTTAATTTTTTTTTATAATTAAATAAATAATATGTGGAAATCCATTAATAAATTTGAGTTATTATGGTGAAGGGACATTTGCCAGAGTATCAAGTAACGAGGCATAACTTTGGAAGAAAGGAGAGAATAAAGAAATATTCCAATTTTATATGAAAGAAAATTGGATGCATGATTATTCATTAACAAACATGAACGTGTCTTATATTTATTTGGATTTAAACTGAAAGAAAGAGTGTGGGCTGGGAAATTGAATACAAATAAAGGTAAGAAAGAAAACGTGGCTTAAAGTTAAAATTGGATATACGTTTCGTTTCCTCTAATACTAATGGTACATAAATTCTCTCCTTTCTCTTTATAACTTATAAAGTCCAAAGATGGTTATTGTAATGTCAGCTTCTTGTACTCTTTTAGGATTTGTTATGTGCTTGTAAGCAACACTATATTAACCCAAATAAATATTAACTTAGTGCCATATGATCATTTAAAGATACACATACATATAAAAACAAAGCCCACCCTTCCTCCATTGTCTTACTTTTCTCATTCCACAATTCCACTTCTTAACCAGATGGCCGACTAGTCAATCGCTCTTTGTTTGGTAGAGGCAAAAAGCCAATTGTCGTCTTGCAGTCACATCGTTCTCTCATGGTAAGCAGAAGAATATGTCATTTTTTGTTTTATAATTTAAAAGATAGACGGCATAGCAAATGAATAACCGAGAGGTAGACGACATGTCGTTCTAAACGCTCAGCTACCCAAACAGGAAACATTCTCTATACGTTCCCAGAGATTAGTCACTTGGACAAAGAGTAACACAGCTAATAAAATCAGCATCATCAGAACAAATGACTCTTCACTTGATAATTAAAAAAATTACATTGCCACATTTTCTTCTATTTAAGAAAATTAATAAATATAACTTACATAATAAGAGCAAAGAATGGATTACTTTTTACCTGGATGAGAAAAAACCCAGAGAATTAAACCACAGAGAAACACAACAAGTGGAATAAGGTGAATGGCATTTTCTGCAATTGACTTTTGATGTAAACCGATTTCCTTTTTGGTGGCTTCAGAAACGGGATCGTAAATTGGTAAGTCATCAGAAGATAAAGCTTTTACAGGTGAAGAGGCCGCCATGGCCATGGCCGCTGGCAACAAGTTGACCAAGAACTCATCAGAGGCTCGAGAAGTGCTCGATGACCTATGCATCTTCAAATGAGACAAAGCCAAACGCAGAGACAGCAGATTTTTATAGGAGTAAAAACAAGCTTGCTTGGAACTGAATATCGGATTTTGAATGAGTTGACAAATGAAAATTCAGTGGGATTTTAATAAGCTTGGCCTAACAGCTGCTTGCGGTGCAATTAAAGGGATCATGTGCATGGGAAATTAAAAAAAAGTAGATTATTTTGGTCTAAGCATGGAGATTTTCACATGCACTTGTCTGTAACAGTAAGGAATTTTCTCCAGGGAGTCATCGAATAACATGTGACTTGTGAGATGGGGAACAACATGGTGATGGAGTAAAATGTATCTAATGAGAAAATTATTTAAATGACGCAATTACCCACGGGTTATTTGTCTTCTTTTTACTAAAATACAAATATTTATAGTTTATTTATTCTACAATTCCACATCTGTTGCTCCATGATTCCATGTTTTTTCTGCTGTCAAAACATGATCAGAGACTCCGAATGTGATACCAATTTCAACTTTTTTCTTGTAACAAACTATATATATTTTCATTTTTTCATATTTGATTATGCTTCTTCGTAGTTGGCCGAGAGGCAGAAATACGAAAAAAAAAAACTATATTTGGGACCAAACTCCTAGTTCAGGTAACCACGTCGGTACCGTCGGTCGCTGCGTCAGTTTGCCTAGTTTGAACCACATCCGTATCGACGTTCGGACGTTGGCATTCAACGATTATATCAACTACTGTACCAAATTTGTCGTCACATAAGAAAAAATTAAAAAGAGATCGGTAAGCGGAGCGAGAGATGTTTGTCACTATACTCTACTCTGGTGGTGGTGGTGGTGGTGGTTTTTACTGGGTTGAGACTATGGTGGTTGAAGTTTTGATGCAAACTTTAAGAACTTAATGATGTTTCTTAACTTTTGGCACTTACGTTATTGACATTTAGTAAAGACCGAGGACATAATGCTAAAAGGATTTTGGAGACAGTTAGTGAACGTCATAATTGAAGTCGATGGGGTGGCTTCTTACAGTTACACAAGATAAAAATGAAAAAGAAAAAAAAAATGAAGATAGCATGAAATAAAGACTATAGAGACAATTATAATAAACGTTGACAAAATTTGTCATTTAAAACACAATATATTGACTTCAACATTGGAGTGGCAAAACGAAAAAATCACCACAATGCCCATTTATGGGATTTCTTGAAACATATGTATACAGTAATGCAATCAATTACCAAAGCATACATGTCTGAGGTTACATGTCTTCCAATCATACACTGGCCAAACAGTAAAAACAAAAAAGACATGGTTAGAGAGTCCATGCAATTCTATCTTCCATAAAGAGCTAAATAGTAGAATGTAAAAGAAACAAATAATTGCCATATCTGGATTTTTGACCATATAATCTTCAGTTTGAAAGTGAGACATTCATATACATAGACCAAATCATAATTTGGTTTGCAATTGATTGTGAAATGATTGATAAAAAAAATTAAACCACAAGTGTGAAGGTGCACATAAACAAATCAAGAAGAAAATAACCATCCAGTCATTTGTCCTTACTTCTAAATAATCTCAGTTTCCAGTACATGAAAACAAATTTTGCAATCAGGAAAACCCAAGGCTGAAATTTTCCAACAAAAGCTAGAAAAACTTTCTAATCAGCCAGTCCAAATTCATCTAAATGTTCATAGAAACTTGGCAGTTCCAATTTCCGCAATAAGGCTTTTACCACTATACAAAGATCAAGTATCACCAAATGTTTAAGTGCTAGATATTAGCTTGAAATTATCAAGAGCACAAAGTTCTCATGCAAGATTTACAGTAGCAAAATGCTATAGGAATTGTGTAACCTCCATACCTAATTAAGACAGTTTTAAGATTACTAAATTACCAAACTAACCAGATTCAGGCAAACATTTATGCAAACAGATTGCATTTAAATTAATATTTCACAAAATCTAAATCAAATCCCACCCAATTGTTGCTTGGTAAGATTTTTACAAGTAGGTTTGACATGTTAAAAAACTCTCCAATAATATATAGCTAAACTATTTCAAGAAATTTCTAAGCTACCAACAGGTTCAGATTAAGTTTGGATGACCGACATACATTCTATTGCCAAATCCAGTTGCACGTATGTGCAGAAGTTCTAGCATGTATAGAAAGATTTCAAATTCCATGGGCAAAGAAAGCCCAAATATAGATAAACTAGCAAGAGAAGGCTCACAGACTGAAATTGAGTAGACTATACCAGTATTTTAATCTATGGCTTTGACATCATAGGGCATAGGCAGATCATGTTTTGAAATTTTAGTAAATAAAGGAGTAACTGTATGTACCTTAGCCAATGTTAAAGTACCCAAAGTATGTGACCTGTTTCTTTCCTCACTCTATATAGAACCTGTTGCTGAATGGCGGAAGAATATTGCCAGAAGACTGTCTAATGTCACAACTGAGTTCAATCTCCATCAATCGATGATTTTCCTTAGACCGGTTCATTGAGAAAGAAACATTCAGGTCATCCCCTTCACTAACATGAATAGGAGGATGAAGGAGGAAAACCTAGTAAAACAGGCAGTACTTTAATATTTGATTGAAAATAGTGTCACTGAAGAAGCAAACAATCATCAAATGCACAAAACTGCAGACTGCTCATACTAGAGTCTGGAAATACATGCAAGAATGATAGGTGCACAACTAAAGTCTTACAACAGAAAAAATTAAAACAGATCTTATCCCAAAAAATTAACTAATACTATGCAAACTTGTCAAGAAGAAGATGCAGACAATACAACCTCCTAAGAAACAGGTAAATGAATAGGTCCATTATTTTACTGGGGGAGGAAAAAACATGCCACGATGAAGAAACTTGTAGAATTGAGATCAAAAGTAAAAACAGATTCATTTTTCATATACAGACCTGCTGGCCCCAATGTGTGCTATCATCCATACTAGGTGCAGTTGTCAACTCGATCTCTTTCTGAGCAGGATCCACCTTGCTTCCCTGGTGCACCAGACCAATAGAAAAGTTATATACACTCCACTCAGTACATGGATGCCTCAGAGTACAAGCATGCACC